CTGTTGAGTCATTCTTTGTTACAACGGATTGGTGACACCCAGTGTATTGAACTAGCATATTTGTATTTGTAGTTTCAAGCTAATACAAAGAACCGTCTGTTGATAAAGTTGTATTATTTAATGTTTATGTTTCTCGCTGAGGTTCTCATATTACATTTTCCCCTGGGGAGCGAACTGGTCTACACTTTTATCCCTGAGGTCCCGGGTTCAAATCCCACCAAATTACCAATGGATTTTTATCTAAGTGATTATGCCGCAACCCCAAGGTATAGCCTGAACTAACGTGAAAAACACGGGCTTATGCCTAGCGTCCTAGGACAAAAAAGTACATTCTTCTCTCTGGTTTTGTTAGAAAAATATATCCTTGTCGATGTTACATCGATTTAATGTTATGGCTACGTAGGTAGGCTATTATATTGTGACTGATGATTCGCCTTTTCGTACCCGATGTGTTTTTTACCTAGTTCTGCAAACATTTGAAACTTGAAAGTTATACTGTAATTCGATAGACATTTTACTACTTATAAATATATGTTTTGCGTGAATTAAAGTAAGTTTCCACCATTAAATTACATGGTCAAATATTAGTATTGGGTAATTGACCCCTCCATTGAACTAGCGAAAATACAAACTGACGTTCGGATGCGTTTCATAGTAATCCATCTTCGGGAAAATTTAAATTCAACTGCTTCAAAATATCCTATACCTTTGCCAGTATTTTCCCCCAATTCAATTTAACGCTGCAAATCTCCCCAAGTCCAAGATTTGGAAGTTTTCTGGTGAATGTTTTCGATCTTACACATAGAGACGAAAACCAAGTACAGTTTATAACTTATTTACACACAGGTATTTTACATACGCTAACACACCAATGCCAACCTCTTTTTAAATCAAATAATCTTCCCAACAAAAACTCAGGCACGCTCAAAAAGCCAACTACCGTACAGCCTATTTCCTAGATAATGGACCCGGGGAAGAAGAGCCGTTGAAGATTTTCTTCCATTATGACTGAAATGTGAGTCGAATCTCGGTGGACGCACGTGGTCCGTCACAATAGCCCGGGGTGTGCTGGCACGCCCGCGTCACGGCGCGCCACCGTCACGGTAGCCAGCCAGATTGGTACTACACACACTGCCACGTTCTGTATTGTATCAGTGTCATTGCCATTGTCACCTGTTAGTTAGCTGCACCAGGGCCACCTTGATATCTCATTTTCGACTTTGAAACGCTCGACGGTTCAATCGTAATCAGATTATAGTGTGGTGAAATGGTCGTATTGTCAGGTGTAATTAATCAAGTGTCAGGTTGGGATGTTGGGAAATTAATAGTTTATGTTTAATACACATCAATAATCAATAATAGTTTATGTCATTTAAAACATCACTGAGGATAACAACGATTATTGATGAAGGATTTTCTTTACATTTAGGGGATCTGAAAGTCGATCCTATATTCACGTGAGACAGTAACTGGAACTGGGCCGAATTTTTAACAGATCCTAGATATACAGTAGATGTAAATATAAGGGGTTGATCTCCACAATTGGCGTGGCAGGCAAAACAGTGCAAAAATACAAATATATTATCATAAACTTCAATTGTTGTTACAAAAACATGGTTTGGGTTTAAGATAACCGTTATCAAGCTCTGAATTATATAGGTTAAACTCCATATTTTGTTAAATAAAAAGTTATTTACTTTAATCTGGAAAATAATTATTGTGGATAATTCATCGCATTTTAGGGAGCTATAATTCGACGCCGTATACCCATTGGAGACAGTATCTAGAACATAACAAGTACGCAAACCCAACAGCTTAAAATATCACGTGAATCATACAATACAAAATGACATAGTCGAGTGTTGCATGAACATGGATGCAAATGTAAAAATTAATAAAAAATTTATCACGAAAATGTTCTATTAGACTTTCGATCACTATCATGAAGTTCAGCCGAAAAATCTTACGAATCTTTCCAATTCACAAAACTGCGTAAATCAGTTCATCAATCCCCGAGACTAGTCAACAACTTAGAGCTACGCAGCATTTGATTAGGAGATCGCTCGCGGGCAAACATTCTTGATTACTTACGGACAAACAAACCCCCCCCCCCCCCCCGTGATACTGACACTTCCACGGCTTATTGAGGATTATGATTCATCGGCCTTCGGCCAGTCGATCATGTGGCCTAACGCCTTTATTAGACCGGACTTAGGCTGGCCTAGCAGCGGGAAATGGGAAGAATGTTAGAGGGTGCGATATTTGGAAAAGGTTATTAGTGACGTAATTTATGAGGAACAGTCATTTTTGCCGGTGACAGTTGTAAGACAACTTGACTTGTGTGTGTGGTTAGATCGGTTTGGATAATGTTCAACATTAAATAACTCGTGCACAATAAAATAATACTAATACAACTCACAGCTGGGATTACTTTGCTACAACCATAGACTAATCGTTTTATCTCTGCTACAACCTTCACACGGCCTCTTAAATATTGACAATGAACTAAAATGCACTTTACGCTGCAGACACAATTTCGTTTAAGTAAACCAAATTATTGAAATTGTATTTTAAGTTTGTGTTCAATTAGATTTACACAACGTCTATAAATCAGAATGCGTATTAAGGGATAAATTTAATGAAGGACGAATTTTTAATGATAATATTGTTACTTGGTAATGTCAGCTGTATCTTTAACTACTCTTTTAAAACTGTCAAGAACAGCTGTGTCCACTTGCAATACATCTAGGATCGATCCGGCAATGATTCGACTACAATAATAAGGGATAACTGTTGTAAGATATGCCATTTGTAAGAAGTTAATAATCATTATGATACTTCGTAGTGCTGTGAATGGAGGATAGAGAAAAAGCTTGTTTGGCTTTTTTTGTGAATTTCTTTTACAACTGTAGAACTATAAATAGAAACTACTGTAGATTTCTTTTTCTTTTTACACTGATAAAAATTTGCAATCATTCATATGATGAAATTTTGCTGTTAACTTATAGACGACTAGCTGTTGTACCCGTGCTTTGCAACGGGAAGAGGACACAAAATAGAAAATTTTTGGTCTTTACATTTGTTGTATAAAATAGTTACACCCTGTTGGTAAACCTTATAACTTGTTAATGCTATTTAATACCACAGAACCAACTTGTGTATTTGAAACAGCTGACGAAACTATTTTATTCCTTTAAAATATGATTACTCATAGGGTAAACATGGGAAACTCCAGAGCCACTGAGGCGGAGCCCGAAAGGACTTTTGCGATAAGAGTGTGTCTATATATTAATTGGGAATGTGAGCTATCATCACACCAAATTTCAGCCTAATATAATATAATCCGACCAGTATTTTTCGCGTTTACTTGTCACAAACATACATACATACATACATACATCCAAACTTTCTCATTTATAATATTAGTAGGATAAAAGACATTATTATTTAGATAGTTTTAAATCCCTTACACAAATCGTGCCACAAATTGTTCCAAATCGAACCCCTACAATATTCCCACGACAAGTGTAAGGCGGGGAGATTTTTCTCGTGTCGCTGTTCCGATTTAAAAGACAAAAGCAATAATAATTCACGTAAGGCAATAAAGTACCGGGGATGTTATTGGGGGGAAGGGGGGGGGCAACACATGTTGTCGTTATTTACGGGTTGTCTGCGGGACGGACGATTATTGGGGCAAGTTGGGGGACATACATCACATTTGGCAAATGTGTAAACTGACGTTCGCATTAATTTAACAATGTTTCCGGCCACGATTATAATGTAAAATGCTAGTGATCATGTAAAAAGATTAATTGTATACTTTCCTTCACCTAAACACAGTAAGGAAATCGAAATTACTCTGAAGCAATACGCATTGATAACTTGCCAAGTGTATATTTTCCACTAATATTCCTAAAATCTCTATTTTCAGCTGAATTGAACAAATTTAGTCTAGTTGGACAGAAAATTAATAGGCAAGCACGTTTCTTTAAAAACCTTTTCTCAGCTCATGTGCATCGCAGGGAAAATCTATGCATACTGTTAGAGAGATATTTCCCTGTAGATGTGCAGAATCCCTCTATAAATTAAAATAGACTCAAAAATACAAAATAAATATATTTAATTTAAAATAAAATAAATTAACATGGGATTTATGGGTTACCAATAATATTGAAATCAATACCCTATCTGAGTAAACCAATTTTAGACAGCTAAAATAAAAACATAACACTTATTAAACAATGGTCAATGTTGACCGTCTGTTTGGTTGGCAACATAAATACCTTCTCCTTGACAAAAACAATTCCAACTGTACAGTAATATAAAAGAACAAAAAAATCATTTATACACTTTTAACTTCATTTACAAAAACATTTTTTTGTTTAATAAGTAAAAAACAATTAAATAAAATAACGTCTAACTTTTAGACAACTTTACACTCATAGAAAACATCAGTCATACATGTGCCCCTCATTGATAACATAAAAGATTATATAGTTTTGATCAATTGCTCATTCAGTTTAGTTTGGGTAAACATTTAGTGAAATTAAATAAACATTTTAAAGCATCAAACTCCGTAGGTGGGTTAATTTAACATAACCTAGTTATTTTATATAATAAAACTGGCTACAAAGATTATACTTTGGCGGTTATATAGTTCAATTTTATTTAGAAAATATTTAACGTTATTTTCATTTTGATTTTATTGTCTAATGAATTCTCACTCAAAATGTCAAGAAATGGTTACTAGTTGTTATGGAAATATTGAAAATAATCAACCCCACAGCTCGTGGAGACTCAAAAGCCCAACTGTACAGACATCAATACTCAACTGAAGTAAAGATCGAAGGACTGATCAAAATTCAGGAAACGTTTAAGCAGCTCTCATATACACCATCGATTTTTCGCCCGGCTACAGTACATCAACTTCTGCAGTGCCTGCTCGTTTGGATCAGCTGATTATTTCAGTTGATATCAGCTGATTTATATTTTTGTTTCAGGAGGCTTGCGGTCTAGAACGCCGGCGGGGATAGCAATGGAAATGTTTGAACAGCACCAAGGCACGCATATACTGCAGGTAAACAATTAAAAAATATTGTCTGAAAACACCTACAGAAAGTAAATAATACGTCTAATAACACTTGAAACATATATTTACACTTTATACTGTTAATTCATAAGACAATATGAAGTGTTGTTGACGAAGACATTTTACAATGTAATTTAATTTAAAAACATCAGAGCTAAAAAGGAGATTTGTAAAGTTACAATGATGACTTTCAGTTTTACTTCTCCATGGCAGTTGATAAATGTAGTCACTACTTTACTCCGTAATAGCCCGAAAAAAACAATACGTTGGTCTGCTTTAAATATTTATTTTACTTTAAAAACAAGTGTATGGGCAAAGACTCTTTATTTTGGCCTATTAAGCCATTTCCCGGAGTTTGACTGTTTCATTACGGGACACCCTGTATACTTCTGGTCAAGGGTATGGGTTGTTGGTTTTTGTCCTTATCCGTAGTAGATAAACGTCCCATCGTCAACTTGAAGCATAGGTAATTGTTTGTGTTTAATGTATGTAGTGCAAATAAAATACGTTTACTCACATATTTCAAATATCTATTATTTCAAACTATAGGTCATCCAGTGGTCGAAAACTCGACCAAAAATAGTCGTGCAAACGTCTCTATTTTCACGTCACGCTGTAAAAACATGTGATTGGAATTTCTTCCATTTGCTTTGATTTTCTGTTGATGTTTCGTTGTTATTTTGTCACCAGTATGGTAACCCCTTAAGGCCCGTGTTATTTTTTAAATTTTAATAAGTGTCTGTGCTTATTTTTGAGCCTAATTTAATATATACATTTCAAACTATTAGATACTGATTTATATATATACGTGATAATTAATAACACCAACCTTCACCGTTTATTTCTACGTGTAAACCTTTTCTTTTAATGACAATTCATCCCTTAAATCATGTCGATTCCCCTCAACGTTCACATAAAAGTAAAGGTGGAAAATTTAAGTATTTTAAAAAGACGAGAACGCCCCAATCCCAACTGACAGTCCATAAACACTACGAGAGGGTCCGAAAAGAATGTCTTTGGGGTAATTTGCTGGGGTTAGCGCCGCAGTTTTCTCAATTTGTGCGTCAGCTCCGGTAAAAAATGACTCCGCAGTTCTATCGCCAAGGTAGATTTTACTTGTTTAGAAAAACTAAACAGTCAATAAATCGTTATTAATTGCAATAGTTACACATTTTTATCTTACGGATGTTTCCATATAATAAATTGAGAAATAGTGCATTTGTTGATTCACCATACTTTAATGGACCCTGTGTATACAAAATAGTGCGAAAGAACTATGATGATTTTTTGAAAAGTTCATAAAAGATGTATAATATAATATTTATTTTATTTTTAAATTAGGGAGTGCCATAAGTCATCTTTTCTTTTATCAACCATGGACACATTACTGAATACAAATTAATGGAATATGTATTTTTTCCTATAAATTTGTATCAATAATGTAATAAATATTGTGCCATGTATTTTTCGCCCCCTGAACATAGAAACCGGAAATAATGTAATTATTATTCGCGGTGTTTTATACTACCAGAGGTCGTCCAGTGGTCGAAAACTCGATAAAAATATGTAATGTACAGATTTCTCTATATTCACCCCACGATGTAAATAAAACATGTGATTTGAATTTGTTTAATTTATTTTGATTTTCTGTTTATCTTTCATTGTTATTTCGTCACCAGCATCCCATAAGGCCCATGTTAATTTTTAAATTCATTGTGCTTGTTTTTTATTCAATTTTAATTTTTTTAAGGAATTCTGTACATGTGGAGGAAAATATATTTTTAACAGTATGCGTAGATTTTCCCTGCGATGCACACGAGCTGAGGAAAAAGGTTTTCAAGAAACGTGCTTTCCTATTAATACATAGGATAGTTAGTTTTCTGTTCCTCTTTTGTTTTCAGCAACAGCTGACACTGCTGACAGTATGTTTCTAATCCTGGATTGGTCTATGGCTATATTTGCTTCTCATATCAATACATCGTTAACTAACAGCTGTTTGGATGTTTCAGTACTTGGATGGGGTTCAGTTTGAACTGTCTCCAGAATGCAAGTTTCCCTACATTGTTAGACAACCTCTTAACAATAGTAGGAATCTACATCTGATTATTCATTGTACAGTATGAAATAAATGTAATATTAACTAACAGCTGTTTGGATGTTTCAGTCGCTGGATGGGTTCGCGTTCGCCCTAGCTGCAGATGGAAGGTTCCTTTACATCTCTGAGACTGTGTCTATTTACCTCGGCTTATCTCAGGTAAGAAACAACAAATAAAAAATGTAAAATATAGTTTAATGTATTACAATTTAATATAAACCTGTTTTAATGCTTAAGTAAATCACACTCTTTAAAAAGATTGGTTATTCGACACATTGGTCACCCAGCTGAGGAAGGCTCCAAAGTTTTATGACTGAAATGTCTGCTAAAAAATACAACGTCATATCAGATAAAACAGAAGATTAGGGAGTCAAAGAACAAAAACAAGATATGAAGACCAGTGCTGGGCAATGGGTGCAAGGTAGTATGTATGCATCTACGGAAAATAGAGGATTTCGGAAGATAATAGGTTAGTAGGTAATGCCATGTACAAAATAAAAGCGTACAATGGACTAATATGGACCAGACACACTGACCAGATCCTCCCTAAACATTAAGAGGCGAGAATTGATATAACTTATACTTAATTGACAAGCTCAACCTCGGACACTATCTTTTAATTGGCTGATTGAAATATTATTATTTTGTTTCTGTTGTTCGTTATGACATGTTGTAAGATTTCTATGTTTCGCTGTGTGTTTGTACTTACACTGTTCAAATATTTCCTTGAAGTTTAATGAGTTCAGATATAACATACCGCAAATCCCCCTTATACATTACACCTGGGTCTCCTACCTCCAAATTAAGTTTCACCTCATGAAAACGATCACAACAGGAACGAGCGACGGTAGCGAGTTGGAAATTTGTCAAAGAGAAAATGAAGTGATATAAAGTCACCGTGGTTGTATAAATGAATGGCGGATGAGACGATGTGCCTGATACATGCAGAGTGGAGATGGATGGTGGGATAAACTTGTGTATGCGACGCTGAGCCTCTGATACCATCATCCTTGTCACGCGTGCTCGCTAGCTCTGTGAGGGCTTCCTTCCCAAGTGTCACCCTTTCCTTATAGACCAAAGTAACCTTTACTTTGTAGCAATGAGTGTTTTGGGAGTCACACAAGGAGGTGTTTTGGGTCCGATTTTCTTTGTCATACGATTTTGTTTTGTTGTTTGATTGTGTGATGGTTTAGTCAGCTTTACAGTTATTTTCTTTTTGCAGATTTTTTCAGTTTGCCACATTCTTTTTGGTCTACAGTTTTTCAGTTAGTATAATAATTGTACACTGCGAATAAAATTGCTAATGAATAAACTAGAAACAACAACGGGAACGAATTGTCGTATTTAAACATAAGGAATACAACATCAATAATTTAATTTTTGTAATCACTTTTACTAAAAATAACGATTTTCCTTAGTAGAGGACAACATGTTCAAATTATAGTTGACCTATTATTTATCAATTTATATTACTTTTACGGCCGATTTTGTTTAGCTTATTATAAGTTTGGTTCAATTCAATGGATACATGTTTATGATACAGTATCTTCTATTCCACATGACAAAAAAACGGCATTCCTTCTTTCAGAAAATCCCTTTTTACTGAACCAACCACTTCCATTGACGGGGCGAGAAAGTGAGAAGTAGTGTATAAAACAATACAGGTTCAATGTAAGTTTAAATATTGATAGGTTGGCAGCAATGGGCACGGTTGGCGTGGTGGCGCGAACGACGGCCATGTTTGCGAGGGAATGCACCTCACGTCCGAACCGCTCCGTGCCCTGAGTGGTAATGCCACTACAATCAATAGTGAGCTTCCAACATGGCGGCTCTTGCCCGGGTATCCTCCCGTACCCGCGATTTTATTAGTCCGACAAATATGTTGCGCCCTTTATGATGCAGTAAAGAACTTTTATAAAACCCCCTTTAGGGTTGAGACTTAAAGAAATTTTGGTTCTGAAGAAAAATGAAAAAATAGATCAATCATACATATTTATGCTGATTAAGCGCTAGCAACAAATCCAACAATAATCCGCTTAAGATACAGTATGTATGTGCAAGTGGACAACAACATTTGGGACACAGAATAAGGTTTGAGGTGCACAATCCAATTGTCGCATAAGAAATAGAGATATGATTGAATTGTGCTGCATCGACAACGTGAAAAGATCTCCATCACCTGAAAGCCTGGAAGTTGGTTTAAATTTATTGCATATATGTCATAAGTCGGCAAAATTTGACCATTTTTACAACATTTGATGATGTTTTTGAGATTTTAAACCTCTCTGGTTTTCAAGTATTTTAAACATCTCCCAGTTATGATATTGCGATTTAGCTCACATATAAAGCTCCATCCTCATAAACGTCTTAATAGATCCTTATTACATACTTAAACGATTATTGTATAGTAGCTCATTGCTTGAATTCACTGTGAATCTTAAAATGCGGAGAAATTATGTCATTTCAGTTAACTATTCTGTCCATAAATTACACTTTTCGCATCCAGATAACATTGGAAAATATCGTCGCTTAACCGAGATCCTTTTGATTGGAAGCACTGTAAATGGGAAATATCATCATTCACGGCTTTACTAGAGTTGTATAATATTACTTATTATACATACTTATATTTTACGCATTGGATTATGATTCACTAGGCCCTTACACACTACACTCACTGTTCTTATAATAAACCAAACATGTTTAGCTATATAACTCGAAGCTCCAACTGTTATTGACGCAACGTTGCCCCATGTTATATTTATGAGGTCAGGTATCAGGCGTTAGCCTGTAAACATTGGTAGGCTTGCTGACACACGAATACAACGGTATAATATGTTTATTATTGCAGGTTGAGATGACGGGCAGCAGCGTGTTCGACTACGTGCATCATCAAGACCACAGCGAGATGGCCGAGCAGCTAGGCCTAGGGTTGGCCCAGGGACAAGGCCTAGCGTCCCCCAGTAGCGCGGCCAGCGAGGAGGGCACCAACAACACGGCCAGCACGGCGAACCCTGACGGTAGGCCTAGACATTGATCAGCTGCAAACAATTGGTGGTTCAATCTTCAAATCATGTGTCTAACGCGATTCAATTGGACATAAATTAATTGTCGAGGTCTTCGATAACCGACGCTTTGAAGTGGTGTTAATACTGACCAACGTATTGGATAAATTCCAGCTATCCTTTTAGTGGAGCAATGCCTGGAGGGTTGACTTCTAAGGGATACATTCATACTTGGCTTAAAATAACTACTTTGTATGGTCACCATTTCATCGAAAAGTATAAAGTTAAGTATAAAGATAACAATGCAACACAACACAATTGAGCTAACTGCAGATTAATGATTAAGGTTTAAAAAGGTTTACACGTTGATTTTTTTTGTCTAGCTAGGTTTAAACGTTGATGTATGAGAAATAGGTAAATTGACTGTAGCAGCAAACTACGTCTGAGGGTCAATTACATTCGCCAGATATTCTACACCTTTGACCACGGATAGAAGTTTAAAACTAGATATTGCATTCCAATTTCCTATGATGAGGTTAGCCAGTTTTCGAATAAAACGTAATTGAGTTGAGTCTCTGAAAGACTGTGCTGTCAGATTGCAGATTTCTGATGTGTAATTTAATAACATTTTATATAGTATGCATGCTCGACTCACAGTTGGTACGACTGCGTGACGTCACCGTGTCAGTGTCAGTGAAGGTCGGGACCAATCATCCGTGGTTCCGGACACCTGAGGCGAGCATCATCTTCACGCTTTGTTTAGTTTCTTTTCTCTTTCTTTATGGGCATTAAAATTATCTATAATGTAGCAAAAAGGTGTTTAAAACTTGACTCGGTTCATTTTGGGTTAATTCAAAATCAAATTAGAACTGGTATAGAGTGTACTATACTCAGGGTCTGTTCAGGGTTAAAATTAATTCTGCCTCAACCCTAGAGAGTGCCATCCTCTAGGATATTTCATTTAGATCCAACAATAAACTATAGTTAAGGTTAAGATCAATAAATTACCAAATCAGATTATATTGGCTATTTAACTATTTTAAAAACTGAAAAAAAATACCTAAACAATAATTAAATTGGTCCTTATCCAATTAAACTTTTAAAATTCTAGTGATATTATAGAGTAATGATTTTTAATATAACATATTTCCAACATGGGCTTAAGTTTAACAAAATAGAAATCTCGGTCGAAAAAAAAGTGAGGGTTGAAAATCCTAGCCTTTGTCCGTGTGATGAACTAAGTAAACGAACTGTTGTACATTATTTATCTGACTAAATGGGTTCCTAAAATTGTTTAAATTTATTTTAAGGCCCTACTCTGTTATAAATAGGTAAATAGTTGTTTCCCAGAGCTAAAAACTATTTACATACTATGGTTGAACTAGGTTGAGTTTTCGTTCCATTGAAATTGGGACCGATTAAGGTCAACTTAATATATTTTTTATTTGTTAGGCTAAAAAATTAATGTTAAAAAATTAAGTTCCAAATTAATAATTTTATCAATGTCAAACCAAAAGTACAACAACTATCAACCACGCAATAAATACATTTAAGTGAACTCGTAGAACAACTCAAAAATGTTGAATTCATTTTGCCACATTATTTATTCACTTTGCCCTTCTCAACTGGAAAAAATAATTTGTAGGAACACAAATTACAACATTTAATTATCTGCTGCCCTTATCAAGTTGGTATTCCCATTAGTTATAAGAACAAACCCATCTGGTGTAAATTATAAAGTCAGTTTAAAACGACTCCTGGCTTGATAGCAATTATTGTGTTATCTGCAGTCCTTATGATTTACGAAAGGGTCATTAAATCTTACCCCTCTAGGGCGCTATTCTACTGTAAGGGCTGCAAGTGTTTACGTTAGTTGGGCTTAATTGTATGAAACGTTTAAAGTTTTTTTTTTATCTTTCCACCTTTTAACACATTGTCATATATATTATTTAACATATATTATTGGTTTTGTGTCATAAATATATCTGTATTCATTTCAATTATGCTATATTTTGCCATTGCACAGAGTATATAGACTAATTTGTATGTAAAATGTGTCCAGCATTTGAAAATTTTGTTTTAATCGGTGAACGTATTTTCACAAGCATTGAATGGTAATATTTAGCTATAACTGATTCCCAAAATCGTACATGGATAGCTGTGTGGATATCGTGCTCATCAGTTCGCCTCTGTGTGGATATCGTGCTCATCAGTTCGCCTGGTAGCCAAAAAGTTGCCAGTTTGATTATGAGATGTCAAAACCTTTTTATGGTTTGACAAGATCCAACTGTCGGTAGGCGGTCATTGGTGTTTTTATTGGTCCTGGCAAGCATCTGATCAGTCAGTAATAAGGTTGTCATCTCGTTCATTGAACACTCATCTTTCCCTGAAATGCTACAAGGTGTGTTGGCATTGTGAAAAAATTAAAATCCATCTATAAAGTAGGTTACAACATTATACGTTTATAAAAACGTTTATCAAAATAGATGAATTGTTGTATATAAAACGGCTGTATGAAAAATATAATGATTTTATTTTCAATTTAAGCATAACTTAAAAAAATCCTCACCAAAACCCAAGAAAACATAAATAAAACAATATATACCTGCAAATACTTTTCAAATTCTCCATTGGCCTTGTTTATTCCTTTCAGATAACTCATGCAAGTATGGGAAACCATTTATAATTTTCAATCAAGAAGGTGGTGTCATGATTTTCAAACAGATTCAAACTAGGTATTTTACAGAGACATATGTTGTACCTGTTACTCATAGATATTTATAATTAATCTTCTGGTTAATGTTCCAGTATCCTCTCTAATGGCACTAAACGCTACGTCAACATACAAAGGATTAGAGAGAGCGTTCTGTGTTAGGATGAAGTCTACATTGACCAAACGAGGATGTCACTTCAAGTCATCAGGATATAGGGTTAGTATCTTATAAACTCCTTAAAATTTTACTTATAGTTATTGCAGATTTTTTTTGTAATTGTAGGGTATGTAAATATTCACAGTTTTCTCGATCTATTTGTACATCTTAGAATAAAAAAATTGTAGTAAGTATTTGTTCATACACAATCATTATCATCATTTGTAATAAATTTAGCAGCTCCAGTTTTGCAGGTTTGCAGAAGTTTTGCCAAGTTTCTAACGTTGTTCTGTCACACAAAGCTGACAATAATGTGATGTTAAATCTGACATTGCTTAGTTATTTATTTGTAAAAATCTAATTTAAAATTTAAAATTGCATGTACAAATTTTATTGAAGTGCATGTGTATTTTTGCTTGCCTGTGTTTGGGGGTTTTCCACAGCAATTTTACGTCTCTGTATGTCCACCTGAAAACAGACGCCTATGTCACCAGGTCACATGAAACCATAGAAATTATTTAGCTGATATTATCAGGACCGTTTTTTTTTTTTTTTTTTTTTTTAAATAAGAGGTTTTAAGTTTGTTGGTGGATAGGGGTGCAATCATTTCTTGGGCCCAAAGCGCATCACGTGCAAACCACTGGTCTGGGTATTATATGAACTTTCTGAGTGTCTAAAATTAGTACATTTTTTTACCTGATCCCTTTGTAACCCCACCTGTGCTAGTTTTTCTATGCTGTTTAATGAATGGTAACATAAATATGCTGAGGCTAATCATTAATTCATATGCCTGTAATTTATGAGCTGTTTAACCAAAAAAAAAAAAGAATAATCAATGTAAATTAGCGAAGCCCACATTAAATTTTAGAAACAAAAAATAACTATGAGCCCTTAACACTTGAAATATATTCAAATATGTTGTATATCAACACCTATTCAAACTACGAGATTTTACCATTTCAAAGTTTGATGATATACGTAACAAGTTCACTACTCAGTCAAAACTGCCTCAAGTAACTAATAATAGAGTGGCTAATCCACTAAATTAACAAATGATTAGATCTTTACTGCACACTTTATTACCAAGACAATGAGCGTAAAGGGGATAGAAGTTTGTGGTGAACAATAACGAAACTGTGAAACTGCCTTCTTAAGACGTGTTGACGAGTGGAAATAGCCTCGCTCTTGCAGAGGGAAAGAAAATAGGGTTTAGAAGTAATCTAGAAAGGGTTGGGGAAGCTATAAGGGTCCTTATATGGGCTTAATTGGCTTAGTGGCTACACCGCTATGACTATGAACTGATGAGTTGATGAGGGACTTACAGGGTGTCTCATAAGATCTAACTTACCAATTTACTAAGATTCATTCATTCGCCTAAAATATGGTAGTTTAAATCTTTAACCGTCTAATTTTGCTTTTGTAAAATAAAATTCCTCTATTTAGAATTCATGAACCTGATCTAAAATATTTTTATGATTTAAGTTATGCATTTAAAAGTTAATTTTTGTCTTTGTAAATATGGATAACACTAGCAGAGTACTCGTCCTTAGTACGGGGTTGGCGTATAAGTATAAAATTCGTATTGCAGTTAAACTGGTGCTTTGCGTTTGCAATGGAAGAGGACACGTTTTAAGAAAATTTGGTTTACAATATATTTATAGTATAGCAAGCCATAATGTTCTACCACTGCACTTAAACAATAGAAAAAGTAATGTTTTCACAGCGTTTTGGTGCTGCTTGGTTCAAATTAGCTATTGTCGCGAATAGAAAAAAATTAATAGTGCTGCACCCAGTTGGTACACCTTATAACCTTAATGCTATCTAATACCATATAACCAACTTGTGTAGTTGAAAAAGCTGGCAAAATTCTTTATTCCTTTTAAATATAAGATTAACATAAGGTTAACAATAAGGCTAACTCATGAGGTTAACATGGAAAACTCCAGAGCCACTGGGGTGGAGCCCAAAAAGATTTTTGAGATAAGAATATGTAGGCCTATATATGTTAATCGGGAATGTGAGCTATCATCATAGCAAATTTTAACCCAATCCAACCAATAGTTAATACTTGATTGAACCTCAAACAAACTAACACACAAACTTTCACATGCATTACTTTAGAAAATAGCAGAATTGTACATTAGTACCGTATTATTTGAAAGTACAGTACTATATTGCACCATATATTATAGGGTACCAAAACACTATGCTTGAGAGAAAGGGATGTCTGTGACAATTCAATGCATCATATGGGTCAAAAATTTTAATTCCTGATTAACATCTGTTCAGTCATGTCCTCTTAATCACATAATCATGACAGTATGAATCTTTTTGACAGTATGAATCCTCGGTGAATATTGTTAGTTGGATAGGAATGGAAAGTAATTGAAAGCTTCCGATGATTTGAAACTTGGCCCAACTTTACTGCCATTGATCATTGGGATTATAATAATATCCTGGCTAAAGACCTAAGCTAATCTCAACCAGTAACAAAACTACCAAAAGTCATCTCACTCCATTGTTTACTTACCTTGCATTCATATTAAGCTTAGAAAACGCACAGGCCTTTAGTTCGCATGATGTTCATTTTGTGGGCTCGAGAGATGATTGTGTCCCTCTCCACCTACCTTGGGGGAATTTCTCTCTTCCTGCACCCTTAAGCCTGGGCCCATCATTGAAGCGGCCCTGAATATACACCCGATTATGTGTTCCTCCTTAAGTAAATAATAAAGTAACCTATTGATTATTGAACAATCAATAGGTTAGATTGTTGATTGATAGATAATCAGACTAACTATTTCGCTCTGCGTAGGTGGTACTACTGCTGTGCAGACTGAGGCCGCAGTACACATTCTCACATAGTCGCAAGAGTGCGCCTCCGCTCATGGGGATGGTGTCCCTCGCCATCGCTCTCCCACCACCGAGTGTCCACGAGATAAGACTGGAGTCTGACATGTTTGTTACTAGAATCAACTTTGACTTCCGGATAGCCCACTGCGAACCCAGGTAATGTATTAAAAGCTTTTGGATATGTACTGTTCAGTAATTAATTATTAGTGGGCCTTCATAAATGGTGATTTTTATCTTATTTATTCATTCCAACAGTAGGGTCATTCGTAATATCCTTGCTATCAACATTGCAGTTGGTAACAATCTTAACGTTATTTTTCTCTGACAGAGTGGCCGACCTGCTAGACTACACAGCTGAGGAGATCACGGGGATGAACCTCTACACCCTGTGCCATGGGGAGGATGCCAACAAACTGAGGAAGAGCCATATAGACTGTGAGTTATCAATGACGAATAATCTCTATGGAGAATCTTGATTAAATAAAATTAGTAAATAATGGAAATAATGGAGTGTTGTAATTAAAAATCTCATAATTTAAATTTACGAGGTAATTAGAAACCACTTTTGGTTAAAGCATAATTATAACTATAATTTAAAAGCATTTTACCAACTCTGTCGAATCACAGTCCAAAAACAATTAAATAAAATTTGATTTTTGTATTAAAGATTTACCTAAGCCCCTAAACATAAGATTTACTAACCGACTCCTCACATACTTATTTAAAACTGATTTTCCCCCAACTATCAAGTTCATGTTGTTTTCAATTTAGAGATAATATTTATAACCCAAGTTGGGCTCAAGTGTAGGACAATATTATTATGTTCTGTTTGTATACTGAACACTTATCGTATCCATACCTGATGCACCACTTTCCACCATCCTCAACTGTAAACTGAATCCTATAATGTTCATTGTATTACACCACCAAGATTATTTTCAATTTAGATAACAAGTTGTTGTATCTGTTCCAGTGATCAATAAAGGCCAAGTTCTAACTCACTATTACCGAGTGATGAACAAGAATGGAGGTTACACCTGGATGCAGACTTGTGCAACTGTCGTCTGCAACTCAAAAAACGCAGAGGAACAAAACATCATCTGTGTCAACTATGTTGTTAGGTGAGCAGTTTATGCTTTACTTTTTTTATTGGATGAATTTTAGCTTGTGGTAAGTAAATACGCATAAGGTTTGCAGAATCTAGTTTCTGCACAAAATTGTTGCCATCCTCATTCTATAAAAGGAAATACACTTGTTCATCATTAGAATAGAATCTTTTTTTAGTTCAGTGTATTTATCTTACACTTCAACCTGAAGATAGCAACACTATTGTGTTGAAACCAGTTGCAGATTGCTACCTGTGGATTTCCATAGGAATAAGTATTTCACCCCTATTTAATAGCCATCAACATAATCCGGAGTCATCTATAGTAGAGATCAAGAGATCTGTCTATTTTAGTGGCGAGAGGAATTAGTATGTACTAAAGAACACTTCCCCACCAACTCTTTTCTTATTTTGTATAGTAATCGAAAGAGAGTTAATTGCAATTGGATTCATTTGTTATTACATAACTAGCATCTAGGGGTGAGACTCCTGTTGTCGTTGGAAGCCTTTTCCTTCGTCTTTCCAACACACCATTCCAATTGACTCGATCTATACCTTCAAGTATATTGTCTGGTCTTATGTTTCTTTCAAATGACTTTTGATCATACCTCTGTTTTCAAATTTAAAGATTTTATCTAATGTTGCAGTGGGAAGGAGTACAAGAACATGATCATGGACTGTTGTCAGCTAGAAGAGAACATTGCTCAGAGAGGAGTCAAAAGAGAGGAGGCGGGAGGGAACGACCCAGAGAATGGCTCTCCAGATGCTGACAAAGGAGGTGAGGGAATACTCAGATAACTTAACCCTTAACTAAATATAAGTAGGCTACTCAACCTAACTGTACACATCTCATCATTGTTGTGAAAGCTGAAACATATTTTTTATCTTTTTTTTTGGTTCAGCAAACCTATGATCTCACAGATCAATCTGAGGATAGCAACACTATAACAAAATATTTTTTGTGAACATCATTGAAATAGGACAAGTTATGATTACTAAGCCATTGCTGCTGCCAACTACTATACTACATACATTTTACAATTCTAAAAAGGGAACAACATCAAGGCAAAATTATATTGTGAAACTTGTCGACAGCCTCTTCAAGAATTTAAATCGTCTCATTTTTGAAAGCTGTTAGTCATGTCAAATCTCAATTGTTGGAAATTTAAGTGGCTTCTCTTGATATTATTTTCATCACTTGTTTAGTTTAAACAGTACCCAAAGGTTACTAAAACAGTTAGTTCTCCTCGTATTATTCATGAGATTACCTAAAGATACATTTAGAATGTGTGTATCTTGTCAATGAATATAATGACTAAACATTAAAAACTATTTCTTGTTTTCAACAAGGTTTTCAGATTAAGAAATTTTGCCAAAAAATTCAATCGATATCCCTACAAAAATGATGATATTTATGTTACTTCAGAGGTGGAAATGAGGTATGTTCAGTTTCAAAGAGCTTTGTATTTGCAGATGGCCGCAACAGTGGAGCGTCCCGCAACCATGACCACCACCTCAGTCCGCCGGATCTGGAGGACTCATCAGAAGGATCCGGAGACCCTCAGAGAGGTAGAGGACACCTGGAGCATGCGTCTCAGCTACAGGCTCCAGACCGCACCCAGGTATGTGACTGTGGATTGGATAAGATGTATATAATGCTGATGCCGACTAAGGATAATTGAATGAATGATGTGACAGCATTGTTACCGACTAAAAGCAGCTGGTTCTTGAGTCAGGGCCATTTTATAGACTTAATTATCAAGGATAGCTGTATCAGATTTTCCCAGGATTGAAGAAGCCATCTTCTGATTTAAAAACTAGCCCTGTAAGATGTTGTATTGTTCAGTATTTAGAGACCAAGTGAAATTACAGACAGCTATATTCAAGAGTAGATATTATCACTTCTTTATTTTAACTTGAATGATATTCTTTTAAAGGTGTATTGAAGCACAGAATAAAGCCCGTTTTTTAATTGTTGTTCAGTATTATAACAACATATAATCCATCACCCAGAGATTACAAAATAAACTCTGCAACTCCAGAGATTAATGTGTGTTCGGATTGACAATGTGATTTATTGCTATAGTAAATGTTTGTATACATACTGTATTACCATTTCTCCCCCTCCCCCAAACAACCCTAGTTCCTCAACTGAAAATCAAAGCTGAACCAGTTTATTAAAATGGAAATATTTGATATGGAAATTTTAAAAATGAATAAAATAAATATGTTGAAATTAAAACACTTATTGGAAATTTGTAACAATATATTAGTTTGTAGGTACCTATCAGAGTTTATGAGGATTTATGAAAACAAAATTTTATTTGCATTTTCAGGTTTTGACTGCTAGACCACCAAAAAAAACAGAAGAAATTCAGCAGAGGGGCCAGAAGAGAAAATTGTCTGGAACACAAAGAGAAGACGAGAGCAGCTGTTGCAGCTCCGAGGATGAGGAAAGGCTGAGGAAGCGTTACCCGGTGCTGAGTCCAGCATCATCTTCATGTCACTCAGTCCCCGTGGGAAGTCCCAAGCCAACCATGGAGGAGAGCGACACAGGTGGAACCTCTGTCAAAGACTTGGAACACGCCATGTCCAAACATCTACCTGTGGCGCTAGACAAAACACCAACAGACTTCAGCACCGACACTCTTCTGAAGCAGCAGCAGAAGAGTACGATCCAGTGGATAGGAGCATTGCCTCAGCACGCTCAACCCGGGGCTCCTCTCCCTGCGTCAGCACTGCTAAGACAGCTGTACGCAAACAGAGAGAGTGTGATACGCGCCAACGTCCACGCAGGCAGGACAGGGACGGCGGGCAGTTACTATACCGGAGACATGGGACCCCTCCCGACACCTCCTGGTAGCGAGGGGTCCTACGGAGATCAGTTTGTCCTCTCGCACAACCAGAAATCCGGAGACACTTTTGGAGGACTCGTCTCGTCCTACTCGGCCCCCGGCAGTTACACAGTGGACTACCACTCCGCCATGACACCTCCGTCGTCTGTATCTCCACGAGACAAGCACCAACAAGTGCACAACACGTTTGACAACCCTTCCTACACTGATGTTCTGCGGCACCAGTACAACCTACCCCTCGGTGCCGACAGTCCGGCGCAACCCCTACCCCTCAAGCCCCAGCCCTACCCCGTACACCCCACTGCCATCGACTACGCTACCTCAGGCCTCGATCAGTCGCAGTTCTATCACTCCGCGGGCTTCCATCTCTACCACCCTAACAAAACTGCCAACGCTTCTCCCGCTGTTTATCCAGAGACGCTAAAAAATAGTGCTAATTGGTACTCGACGCCGTCATAGTACGATTTGTTGTTTAAGCGGTTCTTTTGTTAAAAGTGTATACTATTGTGAGCGAATGTAGAAAGATTTGTAAATTATTAGTCTTAATGTATATAGAAGTGGATCGAAAAAGCGATACGGAAATACAGGAAACTTTATTCTACCGTGATTGAATATTAGAAAGTAATTAATTTTACTCAAGTAGTTCTGAGAACAGAACATAGAAGGATGATACTAATGACTTGTCATCTAGCTTTAAAAACAAAAGAGAACATTATTTTTAGTTGCGCATTTAACTTATTCTATGCTCATATAGCTTTAAGGAAGTATTTATTTTGTTTTGAATCAACCAAGGGTTGCATACCGAAATAGACTTAGATTTAACTGGCATAAGAAGTTTTTAGAAAAATTCATTGCGTTTAAAAGAAACAAGAATAAACCAGAAGACTAGTGATTTCACTCCTGGTCGGAAGATTGTGATATTCTCTTCTGTTTTTAAAAATTATTGTATAATGTAATGATACCAACAGTATTATGTACAGATGTGTAAAATTGTCCACCTATAAAACCACGAGCTTTATCTATTCGATCAATATTTTATGGTGCTTTCATGTGTTTTATGCTGCAGTTTTTTAATATTTTTTAAATAATTCGTTATAAAGTCTTGTATTAATGTAGTAATGTATTTACATTGTAAAATTTATTGTTTTGTCGAATATTCATGTTGATAGGGCTGAATGAAACATACCATAACTAAATTGTGTGAGGGCCATTGTCAATTTTAGGACCTTTGCACACTACACTGACTGAATTAAAAAATTAACTGCCTGTTTAAGGAGAATCTTTTATTCATCAAACAATGTGTCCCTGATCATACATTTTTTTAATGTTCTATGTAGTTTTATGTCATTGTCAGTTGATTGTTTAGGGCAATGTATTAAGCTTATTTATTTTGAAACTTATAATTTATTTTCTATAAAATGTAACTAGCATTAGCCTACATTGAAAGCGAAATACTTGTGAATAATTTAACAGGGCCCCAAAAGAGTTTAAATTTTGACACCATTGAGGCTATAATATCCTTTGAGATCGAACTCTGTGACTTATTTTGGATACACATTTACTTCAATTTATAGAATTTTTAAGTTTTTGTACGAATTATTTTGACTCACAACTTCAACACTTTTCCAAATTTTCTGATACAGTGTAGTAGGAGATTATTTTTTACAACCAAATGTTGTACCTCGCAGAACAATAAATAATTTTAAAAATCTAACCAAATTTTTGACAAATTATTACAACAAAATGTTTTTAAGGAATATAGGTGTCATAAGGCAAAGTAAAAAAATAGGTGTGTTGGAATGGAAAAAATCAAGGTTCATTTAAAAACAACTGTGCAAACGTCCGTAATTGCAAACCTGAGGTATAACTGCAGCTCTCTATGTAGTTGAGGCATGTAGTAAAATACATTCCGATATGATTTCATGTGTTCTGTAAATAAATTAAAATATGTAAAAAGTTTTGTTTACGTATAAGTTAAACTTGTGATCATTATTCATTTTGTGACAGTACTTCACAAAACTAAATGGCGAAGCCAAAGTTTTATTATTTTGTTAGGTTCTTTGTTAAATCAACATGTTTAAACTTTTAAATATTTAAATTTAGGTTAGTTATTTATGCATGTATATTACACCGATGTATATGCATAAACAACAAAATCATTGTTGTACTTCTAAAGCATCTTTTGTTCAGTTTGATTTAGAGCTGTTTGTTATTATTAGTTTCTAGAAGAATCATCGTTTAGCTCAAAACTTGTGCAATAGGTAGTTCCCTCAATGTTTTCATATTGTGTTTGTAGGTTATTTGTTCATATCATTATAATAATTGTTAATTGAACCTAAATAAATGTTTTTTTGACCTTAATAAACTACCCTCCAGTTACTTGAGCAATGTTCTTGTTTCATTGATACGCTTTACCTATTTTTGCAGATGACCTTCTGTTCTATTTCTAATCCAAGAATATTAAACACACATCTTGTTTCAACAAACTCTATTTCAAAACTAAACCAATGTTTACAAAAATCATCTATCAACAAAAGATATTTAAACACAAATAAATCATATGACTAAAAGAACAGTCTTAATACAACATCCAGCCTCAAGATGTCTACATCTTCATGAAGCTCGGTACCGCCTCGGTATCTTGATGGACCTTCCGTAACGGGTAACTGTGCCAGCGTATGGACGATCACGTGAGTTAGACGGACAATTAAGGACCGTAGATGAACAGTTTTAAAGAATACAATCTTCTCCGTAGTATGGTGCAGGAACTAAGAACTTCCGGTTTCGTCGAATGGTTCTCTTGTCAGTTTCCACAAGGTAGGAACGTGGTTCGTTCAATTTCCTGACTACTTTACCATATCTACATAGATCTGTGATCCATACCATGCTTCCAGCTTCTAATTCACTTAAACCACTCGCTCCATGTCGTTTATCAAATTGCATCTTATACTTCGACCATCAGTCCGATTCGGTTTACCGACTTGAACAGACGTTTTATTTACCAAAAAAACATTAGTATCTGCGAGTTCACGTTTTTGGCGTTCTAGCTCCTCATGTTGGCGCAAGGTATTAACTGCTTTCTCCAGAGTCAATTGAGAGTCCAGCTGGAGTCTATCACTTAGAGCCTCATCTTTCATACCAATAATGAGGACGAGAAGCATCATCTCATCGTTTAGTTCACCCCATGCACACGTTTTCACAATGCCATGCAAATCTGTTATGAATTTTTCAGATGGATCTTTTGCTTGTGTCTCAAAAAATATGTTCTCTCATAAATTATATTCTGTCTTGGCACAAAGTATTCATCAAAGGCCCGAAGAGCCTCGTCATAAGTATTAGGTTTTGGTGAAAACGAATAAAAAATATCTTCACTTCTACTACCCATTGTAAACAAAAGTACATCGATTTGCCGAGCGTCAGAAGTGCTATCCAAACCGCAACCCCGTCTGTACCTTTGAAAGCGATTCCTCCAGGAATGCTACTCATTCGGAGTAAAAGTGAACGTTTCCGGAGTTGGTAACGTGATATTGATCATCGGAATAGTAGTACACATAACTGCACTATTTTCTCGGTTTGCCTGTCATAATGCAAAACCTAGTGAGTGACTCACCTTCAGTCTTTCTAGAATCCCTTTCTGAAACGTAGTTGAGTTCACTTTGGGCGTCGTCCTCACCGTTGTCCTCATACCTTTGCCTCCGAGTATTTTGTTTTTTTCTGCCCTTACTTGACATTATGCGTGGTTTTAGACTATCAGTTCGATAAAAATCCACTAAGCTGCCACCATGTTCTATTTCTAATCCAAGAATATTAAACATACATCTTGTTTCAACAAACTCTATTTCAAAACTAAACCAATGTTTACAAAAATACGTTTACAAAAATCATCTATCAACAAAAGATGTTTAAACACAAATAAATCACATGACTAAAAGAACAGTCTTAATACAACACCTTCATTTTAATTTTTTTTTGTCCAGATAGTAGCAACTGATAGGTTAAAGGAATCACAAACATACATTATCAATTGTTAATTCAACTTACACCTCCTAGTGATATAGTTGTAAAAAATAAATCACAAATTCCTCACTTTTAATACAAGACCTTGGTCCATGTTAGAAGAATCTGACATAATAAATCTCCTACAACAAAAACCAGAGCCAGAGACTATCAGATTCTTAAAATAAATTGAACAACTGAAACAAAACATATCTGACAACCATGACAGTATAAAATGCAATTATTGAGTCTTAGTGGTCTTAAATTAAAAACCAGTTTATAGCACTCACTGTCAACTCAACCTTGTTTAGATACAAAACATGAGATAATAAATATTAATTGATTTTATATTCTATATTTTATATTCTAGATTCAAATTTATAAATAGAATTTTGTAATTCTATGAATTTGAAGAGGTTTGAAAATCCTCCACTGTGGAATGGTTCCATGGAGAAGAAGCACTCCCATCAGCAGACAAGGGATGCTGAATTTATATCTTAATCCAAACTCCACCAACTTTAATTTGTGGCACACTTTGATGCGCACATTGATGATTTGGTCATATGAATTATGATCCTAACCAAATCGTTAACTTAACGATAACTGGACACATTATTTTAAACAGAGGAAACAATTTACCGCAATCCACAGGCCCTAAGAGCCAGCTTTGATGATTGTTTGGTTAATTAAAACATTTATAACACAGAAATATCTTAATCGTTCAACATATGGAATATTTAATATATATAAGTCAACTGGACACAACGTGAACTAACATTTGAATAAGTAACCAATAATAAATGACGGAATAAATGACATAGGGAATTTGACTACATGATCTGAAATTACATGTTAGTTAATTATTACTATTCTACGACACAATACCTCAAGAGGGGACCTCCCCACATATCCCACGAACTTAGCCCTGCATGTTGGTTGATCCGTCGAACCAAGACTCTAGACAGACCGTTCCTTGACTAGCCTCACTCACCTGCTGGTGCGCGTGCGCGAGCAGTCCTGGGGCCCTATTTTTTTAAATAGTTGACTGTTGAGTCAATCGTCAATACTCAACTCAACCAACAACAGGATTTGGTATTTTTGAAATCCAACAGTTGAGAAATGAGTTGGGAATCACCAGTTGATTGACTCGTTTTGGAAATGAAGGCATACGATAGCACAAAATTTAGATGACTTCATTTTGAACTAATCACAATGCAGTGTTCTTGTGATCTTCGATCTAACCTCTTACTCTAAAATCTCTGGTTCCTTTTATGAGCTAATCTCAATCTACCATATTTTGAGACACTGAGGTAAACTGTCAACTCCGTCCGTAAGAGATTGAGGTTATGTCTTAGTGATTGCAAAAGTTCCTTGTATAAGTATTCAAAATAAAATTTACTATAGGCTAAATGCTTGTTTTAGGCTGTAGCTCATTATAGGTATACCCGAAATAAATTATTTGCTTTCTTCGTCTATATTTCCGAACACATCACCTTATTTTAGTTACCTTCATCTTTTTGTTTCATATTATTTTTAATTGTGTGTTTTTTTTTAGGTTAAAGCTTAAATGGCTATTTGCCACTGCACTGAAAGCAAATCGTAACTTAAATTAATTTGATCCCTTTATTAGGTGAATTATAGTATTGAAACAAACTATGATATTGTTTCTCTTTACCACAATCTTTAATAAATTAAATCATAGGTCTAATAAAAAGTATCTTATAATAAGATCAATTAGTGTGCCTAGTCTATTTCAAACATACCAACAAGGATAAAACCCTTGATTAAATAGTCTAGTATTGGCACAGTAAATAAAATAAAAATGCAATTATTCTACAGAAAACAATCGCATAAAGTATTGGGTGCTAAGACAGTGACAACAAATACATAACCTCTAAATCGCAATTAGTAAATTAAAGCAATAACGATATGGTGTCCTCAAAAAGAGCAATTTTTTGCCGAAAGAGGAAGAAGAAAGTGCAGTCAACCGTCCACTCAACAGCTCGATAGGAGGTGAATAGTTTTGGTTGGATAAGTCAACCGTCAATCGTTTCAAAAATACGAAACGATTGGAAATAGAATGACTCGACACTCAACTCAACAGTCAACCATTTCAAAAATAGGGATATTGGACCTGACATTACCAACTATATAGGGCGGATATTTTGTATGGGGGTTAAAATTTGCTAGAATTCATAGTTTTCAACTTATTACATAAAAACAGAAAAATGTGCTCGGAACGCTCAAGAAATATTTGTTGGACAACTTTAGATTCAGATTCAGCGCCCAAAAAAAAAAAAAAAAAATTCGTCGGACGCTATATTTCCCCTTGTTGGATACGGATTGACTGTACTATTGGGGTATTATCTATTTAAGAAAAGGTGTCTGGCTGTATTAGGTTCAAAGGTAAAGAAAGACAGATGTAAGTATAAATTCATTCCATAATTTAATACGCTTGAAATTGGGGTTTTAATAATACTTGTACGTAACACATAAGTCTATGAATAACTTATAGATTCCTCGTAAAATTGCATCCATTTGAATGGATTCTGTTAATACATTGTAAATTTGAAGATTACATGTAGCTCCCTATAAACACTTTGTGATGAATTAAAAAAAAAATTATTTATAACAATAATTGTTATTGCTAGCATAAAAAAATTGTTTCATAGTTAGTCTATACACATTCGACCAAATAACTTATCAACCAATCAAATCATTCTTTATTCAATAAAACCCAGAGTACATGTGTTGAATAGAGTCAAGTTAAGATTTAACATTAGAAAATAAACATTTAGAAGAGGGCTGACAATAAAAACAATAATGTATTTCTAAGCACCGTGAAGATAAAAAAAGGAAATAAATAAAAAAAGTTTCTCTAGTTATGCTATGGAATTCAAATTTAATATTATGTGCTAATTTTTGTGCTTAAAAAAGTCTTCTATTAAATAATAAGGAAATTGAATTAAATTATTTTTTAGTGTACCTTTGAATTTATTTACATTTTCTTTTTTAAAGGAGCTGGTAGGTTTTGTAAAAATGTTAACCCTGAATAGAAAGTTTTCTTTCTAATTATTCCTTCTTAGGCCGTGGAAGGACAATTTTTAATCTAGTTTTATAGACACCAGTACTGTTTGGAGTGGATAACAATTGAATTTGTTTGGCATAGACAGATGTTTCACAAATATACAGATTATATCCTGTTAAGATTTGTAATTCTGTAAAATATTTAATAGCTGAATCTCTTTTTCACAGTTTCATAATAGCCTTCAAGCCTTCTTTTGTTTAATTAGAATG